TAATTGTTTTCTCTATGACATATCAGCCTCTCACATTGTTGTGAAGGAATTTTTGTCTGTTCTTCTTTACAACATTGCTTCAGCTCATTGAGGTTTGTGGCCATTTGTTTATGCACAGCTCTCATGAGGCCCCATCCCATCATTTCATTGGGTTGAGATCTGGACTTTGCCTGGGCCATTGCAAAACCTTGATTTTTTCCTTTTTCAACCATTTTGCTGTAGATTTGCTGGTGTGCTTGAGATCATTGCATCATACAATGTCAACCAAGCTTTAGCAGTCAGATAGATGGCCTCACATGTGTCTCCAGAATACTTTAGTTTACAGAGGAGTTCACAGTTGACTGATTCAATGACTGTAAAGTGCCCAGGTCCTGTGGCTGCAAAACAAGCCCAAATCATCTCCACTCCACCACCATGCTTGATGATTGGTATGTTTCTGTGGACACGTTGTGTTTGGTTTTCGCCAAACATGGCACTATGCTTTATAACCAAACATCTCCCACTTCAGCCTTGTCTGTCCAAAGGAAATTGTTCCATAAGTCTTGTGATTTGTTCAGATGCTTAAGTTGTGCTGCCATGTTCTTTTTAGAGAGAAGAACCTTTCTCTTGGCAACCCTTTCAAACAAACCATATTGTTCAATTCCCCCCCCCCCCCCAATTGTATTGTCCTGGGTGTTAACATTGAACATGCTGAGACCTGTAGAGTCTGAGATGTAACTCTTGGATTTTGGGGGGGAATTTCTCTGAGCATTGCATGGCCTGAGGTTGGGATGAATATGCTGGGACATCTACTCCTGGGAAGATTGGCAACTGTCTTTAATGTTTTCCATTTGTGAGTAACGTTCCTCCCTGTAGAATGATGGCCTTTAAATTGTTTAGAGATGGCCTTATAATCCTTCTCAGATTGATAGGCAGCAACACTTGGTTCTCTAAGACAGTGGTCCCCAACCTTTTTTGTGCCGCGGCCTGGTACCGGCATCACAAAATCATCCGCAGCCTGGTACCGGCATCAGCACGCATGGCAAGGCGAGCCGAGCGACTGGCCAGCCAGCCGTCCCCCGCTTCTCCCCGCCACCTTCAACTCCTCCTTTGTACCTGTGTCAATGGGCTTCGCGGCAGCTTCGGGACGGTCGCTCAGCTCACCTTGCCATGCGTGCTGAAAGAATCCTCGCGCCTTAGTTTTGTTCGAAGCCGCCCCCCCCTCGATGAAACTAAGGCGCAAGGATTCTTTCAGCACCTAAACGCCGCTTTCTACCCGGAAAAGCTCACCGGAAGCACTTTTTCATCAAAACAAGATGGCGGCGCCCAGCAAACCAGCGGCCCGGTAGAAATAGTTCCACGGACCGGTACTGGTCCGCAGACTGGTGGTTGGGGACCCCTGCTCTAAGTTCATTGCTGATGTCTTTCCTCTTTGGCAGTGTGTTGATACATGCTTCAATGCTGTACCAGCAGACTCCTAAAACTTTGGCTTTTATAGTCATACTTGCTGATGATCAATTCATCAAGGGAACATGGTTATCAGCACCTGGCTGCTACTAAGCCTCTTCATACTGAAGGAAGCAGTAAAGGTATGCTTACTTTTCCACTCATGGCTTCTCCATTTTGGCTTTCTTTTTGTAAAATAAAGGATGACATGGTGTTATGTGTTGTGTGTTGCTGTTCATCTGAGGTTGTATTTACCTACTTTTAAGAGCTTCTAAAGACCAGATGCTTTTTACTATGTCCTGATATGTAAAACCATAGAACTCAAAAGAGGGTATACTTTCTTTTTCAGAACAGTGCTGGTAACCTCAAGGTTAGATTATTTTATGGTCTCTCAGTAAGGTGACACTTGAAAATACTTCAGAAATTGTAACAGACCTCTCCCAAATCTCAATTTTGACATGCCATTAGTTGCTTTCTTAAATAGCCTGCCCAGCCACTTAGATCAACAATGGAGCACTTTCAATGCTTTATTATTTTGTATGAGATGTTTACATATTTAAAAATACTTCATAATTTTCTATTAAGTACCGCTTGATAAAGCCTTAGTCAGGCCACACCTGGAATACAGCATCCAGTTTTGGTCACCGCATTACAAAAAAAAAAATGTTGAGGCTTTGGAAAAAGTGAAAAGAAGAGCAATTAAGATGATTAAAGGCCTGGAGACTAAAACATATGAAGAAGGGTTGCAGGATTTGGGTACGGCTAGTCTGGAGAAAAGGACTAGGGGGCACAGGATAGCAGTATTCCAGCATCTGAAAGGCTGCCACAAAGAAGAGGTGATCAACCTATTCTCCAAAGCACCAGAAGGCAGGA